AACACAAGAGTCCCAGTGAGGTGCTGGGCCACCATGTGCCACCAGAGCAGATTATCCTGATTAAGTTCAATATTTCATTGGCAGCGAGTGTTTAAAACTACACTCTGTGACTAAAGTCATATTCTAGTTTAAATCATGCACTGGCTATAATAAGGATGAAGGTACTTTTCCAATTAGCTCAGATTCAGATGCTATTTACTTAAATCCGATAGCTGTTGCATCATGGGTTGGGTAGTTCTTCCAATGTTACTTTTTATTTCATGAACTTTAAATTGGATTAATAGTGTTTTGAACGTTACTGAGAAAACATCCACAAAGGAATTTAACAGAACAATCCTTTTGAATCTGACTCCAGTAGGAACAAAAGCCCTGAACACACCTGAGAATATGAGTACTGGCCAGAGCTCCGGCACTAAAGCCCGCCACGAACGTCAGCAGCACTGATGCGGCCACAGCTCCTGCAAACTGGCCATCTGAAATGGCTGCCTGCTCCTCCTCCTCCTCCTCATACCCAGCTTCCCTGTTGACCCTCAAAGCATCATGACAGCTGTCTTGCTCATGTTCAACATCCTCTTGGTTGTTTTGATGGTTATGATCAACATGCAGCTCGTATGGCCACAGCGTGGTTCCCTCTGTGTGCTGCAGGATGCAGTAGTACAGGCCGCTGTGCAGAGCGCTGCTGTTGGGGACCACCAGGCTCCCATCATGGTGCATAAAGACAGGGTTCAGTTTACTGTGGAAACCAGGGCTGTGGAGCTCTCCGAAGGGGGTGTGCCAGTACTGCACCACACCTACACATGAGAGCAGGAGCAGTTACAGGTGGCGTTACAGAGCTGCAGGTGTAGTACCACATGCTGTTGGTGTGACAGCCATGCAGAAACTGAAGTTACAGGATGATACTCTCATTTTCTTACTATAACAAATCATGTGCCGAACAAAACAAACTATGTGTTTATCAAAGCCTGACGAACAGCCGGGCGACACATGAAAGGACAAACTATCAAACCATGACCAACAGAAGCTTGTCAGGGCTGTGTCTCCAGAGCAGCGTCAGGAGGAAACCTTCTCCTTGTAGCTCTGGGGAGTCACAGTGGGACTTTTTCCCCCAGTGTCTGATATCGTAGGAATAATCAGATCATCAGGACAATGATCAGCTGACTGATCAGTGACACTCCTGTTTTTTATTTCCTCTCAGTTATTTGGGGTTTCATTTGTCACCCAGCTGTATCTTTGTCCTCTATGTCATAGAGCCCACTGTGTCCAAAAACCTGAACAATCATACACTGAAACGGACTCTTGGTAAAGTACAAGGTGTGATGTTACTGAGGTGTGTTCCTCCTCTTACTGACCTGCATTCTTCCCATCTCCACAGTTTAAAGTCAGCTCCAACTCTAGATGACCTTTGACCCTGCAGGTGGGTGCCACAGTCACAGAGCCCTGACCAGTGGCTGCTCCAGCCAGAACCACAGTGAAAACTAACCAGTCGATTAACATTTCAAACCTGGAGAGAAAATAAGATTCAGATGATGGTTCAAGTGCAGTTGATGAGTGTGTGGCAGCTGGATTCACTGCAGGGTCCTGAGGTAGCAACAAAATATAAGAAGCTGTTATGTTTAAAACTGCACTAATCAATATTAGTTTATTTAAATAATAAAGTGTCTGTGCTCTGAACACCAGAGAGACAAACTCAGAGATTAGCTGGCAGAGCCCGACAGGTGAACAGAGGGTGAATACTGGAGCTACACACGATATGGACAGACCTAACTATTTGGCATCAGCATTTAAGGTAAAACCTCAATAAATTCAGCTTTATCTGTACCAGTGATTTAACAGATACATTCAGATCTGTAACTGCTGCGATGGTTTTAATCTGTCATACCATGTGTGTTCAGCATTACAGATTCTTTTTTAATTACTATATAGACTTTGAGAAACATATCAGCAGAGTATGGTCATATGACAATTACAGAGCAGCTCATGGAGCAAAAGAGTACGGCTTTATAATTTAATGTGTGATCTGTGAAGTAAAGCAAGAGACAAATTATGAGATGACATATGTAGATGATGCATTGGAGTATCTGTTATGGTCCATGTCCAGTCTGAGTGGGTCATATTTACCTGAGAGCTTATGTAATTTCTTCTTGATGCAGCTGTGTTATCCTTCTCGTGTGTGTGTGATGGACGTGTTACAGTCTCCTCTGGCAGAGTTTAAAGTGCAGTTTCTCACATGACACTGAATTTCTTCTCTTCTGATGGTGTTAAAGATTAATAGCATCACAGAGAGCCACCTGCTTTCTCTTAAAGTTCAACCCTGGGAACAGTAAAGGCAACACAGAGCCGACAGCTCGATCGCACAAAGGCAGGGACTCTGTTACGGCCCTCGCCTCTTGCCCCCTCCTCTTCTGTGTCTAACGCTTTCTCAGTGGGGAAATTAATATGTGCGTGCTGGGTTGTAACAGACTCATGTAAGTTAAAACGGAACTATTACTGTGTTTATTTATACCAGTCAGTTTGAGAGCGACTATCCTGTGTTATGCTCCCTATGCAGACTGAGCTAACACAGGGTAAAAACTAATTCACCTTCATTCTACAATAGACTGATCTAGCACAGGTTAAAAACTAATTCACCTTCATTCTACAAATGAAACATGGTTTCAGTGAAGTTTTAGTTGGTTGTATTTGAATATGAAACACAGTAATGCAGTACTGTTGTCAGTGTAGCGGCCAGAGTTAGAATATTCATGACATTTGAATACTCAAGTGCAGTACTTCTGTACAAATATATGAGATGTACTTTTACTTGAGTATTTTCATTTCATGGTACTACTGTGCTAAATCTCTGGCAGAAGTAATATAATGTTAATTTGATATCTTTAGTAACTACTTTACAAACTGAGACAAAACCTGAAGAAATAAAGAACTTTTAAATTATGATGAAAGTTCCCAGAAGTATGTAAAGTTTGATTAATGGAATAATCAATTAGTTGATTAGGCAATTATCAAAAACTGATAAGCAACTGTTTTAATAACTGATTAATCATTTTCATGCATAAACTCCTGATGATTTTAGCTTCTCAAATACTGTATGAAGATTTGTGGCTTTTCCTTCTTTCAAATTACAATAAAATAACAAAACCTGTGAATGTGCCAGCTTTCAGCGAAAGTGATGGAACTACCAATTCAATAACCAGAAGATTAATCCACAATTAAAAGTCAGTAATTGCGGCCCAGCTCTATACAAAATAGTTCATATGAGCCCCAACTCCAAATGATACCAATAACATGCTGAATGAATGAATGAGCAAAATTAATTCACATTATTTTACATACTGTATATTATACTATATACAGTCGTTACACAGTATCTCTGCTTAGAGTACATTTTGCTGATACTACCTACTCTACTGTAGTAGAGTATTTATGGAGTGTGGTGTTGGTAAATGATCTGAATACTTCTTCCAGTACTGAACTTAGATGTATTTACTTGTTGGACTCTGCATAGGTAGACAGCCCAAACTTATGCACTGCACATTGTTCTGTTATGTTCTGTGGAAGTCATGCAATCAATCAATTTCATACTAGTCGCAAACCGGAAACGGATGATTCTGTTTTGCAGTATAACACGTACAATTGCGCATAACCCCTATTGATCTTTTGGGGAACAAAAGGGTCTTTACTATACAATGGGGCAGTAATCTGCAGGTTTTGTGGTTCATTAAAGGGGGATAACATTTGTGTCATGGCAACAACTCATTGGTTCATTATGGTGCTTTCATTCCGCGGATCGAGGAGGGCCAAAGGATGTATACTAATGTTCTAGTATTGTAGATGGATATTTCTCTGGTTGTGGGAGAGAGCGCTCACCCTCTGCAGACAATCAGTTATTTATGTAGTTTTTTACAGCCGCCACCAGAGGGCAGCAGTGTTTACTGGAACCACATGATAATAAATTAAAGTCCTTCCAGCTGTGGCATGTTAAGGATGTTCCTTTATTGGATTACAGTTAAATCCCTCTGTACTGCATTTCCTACATTGTGTTTGTTTCTTTGAAGTGTACCTTTATTAAATGCAGTTTGATTTCAACAGGGATATTACAGGATTTTCTTTTCTCACATGCATGTGTTTTACAGGAAATTAAAGACATTACAATGATTAAATAAGACTTTATTAATGCCCCATGGGAAATTCATGTTACTCAGCAGTATGGATGGATTATGTGACATTGGGCCCCTTGAGGTTGTTTTACATGTCCTCTTTCCCATTTTGCATCTTTGTTGCTCAGTTCCATCATATCACAGACAAACAAACTTAAGAACAGCTTCTGCTCCGATGCCGTACCAGTACCGAACACTGCCAAACAGCAACACTGGCTGCACGGACTGTCAGTATAATCTGTATTACATACTTAAAGTCACTTCTGCAGTCCCAACTGCACTATTTGTAAGTATCTGTGCATATCCCTAAGTGCAGTATTGTAGCTGCCTCCTTAATCATCCTAACATGGGATTAATTATTATTTATATTTTTATCATGTGCAAATTCACCAACAGGATTTCTTAATAAATGTCATTGTACTCTATGCAGTGACAACAAAGACATCTATTTACTGTATTTACAGAGGCTCTGGTCCAGCCTATATTAACTTTTGTTAGCCTACATTTTGATGCTAATACTCTTGTTAGGTTTTTTTTTTTAATTAAGTAAAGGATCTCAGTACTTTCCCACCACTGACAAAATTGTCATACTTCTCCTGAATTCACCCTAGCAAACAAAAAAGCTCCCCCCAAAAAGACGTGGATTTGAACACAAGTTATTTTAATTTCTGTAATAAGGCAGCACCAAAACACAATAATGCACTTAGGATAGGTTGGATACGCTTCGTAAAGACCCCATTCTGGATAAGGTGATAAATAAATGCTGTTTACGTGTAAACAGCCCATTAAGGAGTATTACATTAATACAGATGTGAACCCTTCCGTGTAAACACAGTACAGTGCGCTTAAATCTATGACGGGAGTTTGTCCGTGCCGCACGTGAACGCATCATACGATTGGGTTCCTCGGGCGAGTGAAGGCGGTTCGAGCTCCACCTGCTCTGTCGTAAAACGGTCAACTCCAGCTGAGAGCCTCCGCACATCACCGGCACAGGGAAAGATAAACTGAGACGCTGAAATCCTCCGGGGAGCAGCAACCGCGGCGTGCGTCATCTCAGGAGCTGGCGTTAAACCAAACAAACTTCCAGGTAAAGTCTAACGTCAATTAACGTTACCTAATTAATAACGCAACTTCACTGTGCGGGAGTCCGCAAAAGTCTCCGGGCCAGCCGTCATTAAAGGGTCTGTTGTCTAGGTCAGAAAAGTTGAGTTTAATTAAATTCCCGGCCGCTGTGTTCACGTTGTTCACGGTGTAACGCACCAACTTTTGCACTTTAGACCGAACAAGACTTTTTGCTCGGTAACGTCAGTTTAGTTAAAAGTGTTTATTATAAAAAGTCTAGAAAAGAAACGTTCGAGTTGTAACAGCGAACATCGTTTATTCACTGTTTGTCATTCTTCTTCTTCAATAAAGATGAAAATGAGATAAAACTCATTTCAAGGTGGCCCGCGTAAACAAGCACACTTCCGTCAATAGCCTTCAAAATAAAATACATTTACGGGTTAGTGCTTCCTGCCACAAAATAATTCAAAGTGCTGATTGTACTGGTTTGGAGTTTGAGGCATAAAAACATTTGAAAGGCTCTTAACGATTAGCTGTCTCTATTAACAACTGATCTGTGTTGGGCACAAGAGCAATTTGACTGGTACAGTGGTTCTCACTGTGTGTGTGTACAACCTAAACGAGATAAGACGGGGAGAACAAAAAAAGGAATGTCCATTTGGAAACTAGAACAATACAGAT